GTTCGGGTTCGAGTCAAGTTTTCTGGTCGTGTCAAATATTGACACCCCTAGTTGCATACTTCTTCTCCCCTTTCTACAACCCAAAAAGTTGTAAGAAATCTCTCTTTCACTCAACCCAAGTTAAGTAAATGAGCAATGAACGTTTCTTGACTTGTAGTTCAAAAGCTATGGGTCATTTATCCTTTCCATGACACCAAAAGTCCTAGAATAGTCTAACTCCTTACCTAAAAGCTATGAATTTTGTTCCCCTTCCCTTAGCTCCAAAGCTAATAGGAAATCTCTCTTCCCTTAACCTCAAAGTTATGCGAGAGTTCACATCCAACAAATTCACTTGTTGGGTCAAAATTAATTCATATTCCTACACCAAACATAGGAATATTAATCTTCTTCCTCCTTTATTTTCTTAACCCAAGTTAGGTGAATGAGTCATTTTCTTTAGACACCCAAAAGGCCAAAGAATCATTGATATGTAGTCTAAATCTACATATCATTTTCTCATGTTTGCTTCATCTATATTTAGCAAACTAAATAACCAACGTTGAATATAGAAATTCAATGATAATTCTTTTTGATTTGTAACCTCAAAGTTGCAAATTTTTCTCACCTATTGAGCCAAAATCAATTGGTGACCCATCTTTCTTCTCCAACCTCTAGGTTGTAGGAGATTTCCCTCTCTTTAACTCCAAAAGCTAAAGAGAATTCTTCCCTAGCTCCAAAAGCTAAGAAGAATTATTCATGATTTAGCTCAAAAGCTACATGTTGGGTTCCTAAATTCCTAAATCTCCTATCCTTAGCTTCAAAAGTTAAAGAGAATCTTCCAACACAGTTCAAAAGCTATATATTGGACCATTCCCTTCCTCTTTTTATGCCTCAAAGGTAAAAGAAGAACTCATCTTCATAACTCCAAAAGCCAAGGAGAATTCTCCAATACTTAGCCCAAAAACTAATATTGAATACCTCTCCCTTAGACCTAAACTCTAAGCGAGACACTCTTAGTGTGAATGGCCACACAAACCTGACATACTTAAGTGTACAACCCCTAGGCATGTTAGGATTATGATTTTTCTTTTTTCTCCTTATGCGGTTGATGATTTAGAATGATTGTTTTTGGATTAGCTGTGTTGTGGACACTTGCCCTTAAGTAGATAATGTAGAAATATATACATATTTTTCTTATAGGTGGTCATGTTCAAAAGGGGAGGCGTAATAAAATTATAAATAAAAATGTTTGCATGACAAGTGCTGCTTAAAACCTCTCAAGAGATGTGACCAATAGGGTAGAATCAGGGGCTTAACACTTCAAGTGCTAGGAAATTCTGGATTTGTTTTCATGATATATAAACCTCTCCTAATCTCTACCCTATTTTGAAGATTTTGAATTTTTTATATTTTTATATGTATTTGATATAATTAGGAGTTGTGTTAAGCTATGGGGTTCAGTTAGAAGGGGTGGATCCAGAGGATGTGTCTGATAAAGGTGAAGCCATGATCACCTGGAAGTCAGAACTTAAAGATGCCCCCCCAACAAGTAGAGTCTGTAATAAATATTTGACTGGGTTGTATAATTGCAGGCAACTCAGCTGCCAAATCTGATTGTAATAACTTGGATTCTATAATTTATATTCATTTTATTTGATTTATACATTCAAACATATTTTGATCTGCTTACCTGATTGCGCACTATTAAATGCATGTTTTTTTTCTAAGTTTCTTCTTTGTTTTTGTTGGGGGTGGCTTGGACTTCTGATGTGATAGACTCTTAGGATAAAAATAAGTTTTCTACTAATTAAATGTAAGCAATCTAAAAATCAAATTATGCTTTATATTTTTCTAACAAATAAAGAAAAATTGTATGGCTCCCTTTATGGAGCAAAGTTTTTCAAAACTTGAAATGATTATGCATAGCCTAATGAGTCTCATATAAAAAGCCCTCAGTTAAAGACTAGATAATAAAAAAATTATTTTTTTGTTAGTCAGCATTGTGCATACCCTTCATGATCAGACATCTTGGCCTAAAAGCTAAGTTGTAAGCCCTAGTTTCTAAATAAAAATAGCCTCCTTATTCATTTTATGCATTGAGACCAGACTTCATGGTTTTAAAAAGCAATTAGGTGGGTTTAACTAATAGCCCTTTCCAGGCAGGGCAATAAATCTAGATGTCGGGCGGGCTATGCCACATTTGAGGCGTAATTTGTAAGTTCCTTGCATTATGTTAGACTTAGGTTCGAGACACTATTCCTTAGTAGTCCTTACGTTAATTCTAGAGTCCGAGGCATTGGTTGATTTCAATCACCCTATAAACCCTCATCTTCCGGGCATTTCCTCCAACTCATGTTGTTGGAATATAAGCCCCAATATTCTAAATGAAAATTTCAACTTAAACAAGAATTGAATTCTAAAATATAAAGCCCAATGTAGGATAGTTCGAGTACCTCTAAGATTTCTTAGAATCAAGTACTCATTCACTCCTTTGACCTTCATTCAACTTCCAATCAAAAGTCGATCCCGCATCTTCCTTGCAATTTTTAAAGACCAAGACTCTTTAAAACAAGATTTTCATAGATTTCAAAATCATATATGTAAAACCTAAAAATGTCAATTTTAGACATCGCACGCTTTTCGACGCACCATGATGAAATTTAAGTGAAATTTCAAAGTCGTTGATTTTTGACAAAATTAATTTTATAAAGTTGTACATAAAATTTAGAGCAAAACGGTATAAGGGACTTATATGGAATTCCGCTTATATTTTAAATTAAAAATCACCTAAGTTATAACTTGAATAACAAATTACTTATATGCCCTTAGAGATATTAGAATGAGGATAAAGCATGTAAGGTTGTTTAGAGCTTTAAGGGGACCGAATGGATTCGGTCCCCTTTCATTCGTGCGACTTTTTCTTTCGACCGAAACTAGAGGGCGGATGGGCAAGGCGACAGGAAGAATTTGATAGGGCAATCGGCAAATCGCACACCATTGTGAGTAAACATGTTTCTATGTTACGGTAATTATATCATTTCAAATTTTCATTTAATTGTTATTGCAAGTTATTCATTTTACTGCATTTCAAATGATCAATGTTTCATCTCTCACATATTAAGTGATTCACTATATTTCCTGCATAAGTCATATGATAAAACATAATATTATGATATATGAATATTATATGATTGATATATTGAGTGATTACATGTGCATGTTAAAATAATGGAGCTCGTCCCTTATGGTATTAGCTGGGGACATTGTACCCGTGTACGTTAAAATGGTAAATGTTATAAAAAAGGAAATGATAAATGAGTATCTTCATTGGTACTAGATGGTGGCTCCTGTGATGGTTGTATTATATATGGAATGAGAAAGTTATGAATACTAATATAATGAATGTAAACTGAATATGAAATGATTAGATTTACCAATTATGTGTATGTTTATAGAAAATCAAATTTATGATATGTTTAAATGAAAAATGACATCTAGCATATTACTTCTACTACCTTGAATTACTGTAGTTTAGATGCATGTTTTACTCGCTAAGCTTTGACTTAATGTTGCTCTAACTTCTCTTTTAGGAAATTTTAAAATAATCAAATGAATAGAAGAGGCGGAAATATCTACCGTTGACGTAAGGCACAAGAAGAAAGGTATCTATGTTTATTATATATATCAGTTTATATATTTGAAGTTTAGTGGCTCTTTCAAGATTAATGAGATAGCTTTAAGGAAATTAAAAAATTGATCTGCCATCCGAGCATTCGTTTTCACTTCGTTAATTCGAGCCCCCGGGCCGGGTCGTGACAAAATCTTAGCCAATATTTGAAAGATCTTCAAAAGAAAAGAAAATCACTAGTTTAATCAAAAGTATTATCAAGTGTCAAAAGCTTGAGATGTAATTAACCATAAGTGCTTTCTCTATGAGGCATCTGTACCAAAAAATAAAATAAGCTCAATTCAGTCAAACATTGAATGGGAAATCTCTGTTTAATTGTAAATTTTATTATTGAGTTTATAAGTAAATGATATTTTTATCCTTCGGGGTAATATATCATATTTCTTATGTCATACTCGATCATAAAATATGCAATCCGTTTGAGGATGACAATTTCTCCAATAGAGGCGAGAACAAAAGTTGAAGATATTTTATATGCTTATAGTTAATCAATAATAATATGCAAATTTTTGCCTTGTGTATGGACCAATCGAAGTCATGCAACCCTTTTTTGTCTTAAAATGTGCTATCATGTTTGTTTTACTTGAGGTGGGATCGACCACGTGAGTTGGTGTGTATATGAGTTGACCAATCTTGAAACATGCTATGAATGAAGCCTTCATAACTATTACCATTGAATACTGATTGATGCCTACTTTTCATGATCTTGATGTTCCCATCATTTAATCAATACCCTTGAGTTAGGATTTTAGAATGAGCACTTAATATTCTATTTTAACTCTGGATGAATGCTCGTCGTATGTGCTTGAAAATGTATCTTTGTTCTGCATTACCATCCTTGGCTCCATTTTCTCTCGAAATTTCAATGTACTGGGCGTAAATGGAATGGCATTACTATCAAGTGAGTATCATTATTATACAATCAAAGGCCATCCTTAATCAAAACAGCTCTCCCCTTAGGTGAGGCAATTATTATAGGACTTGTGCCCATAACAAATCTCGAACCTCACAATAAAGGCTGATCAATATTAGGGGGAATCTAGTTAAATGAATCCAATCCATCTCAGAATAAATTATTGGGCTCACTGATGAGAGCTCGAGTGCCTCTTTTGATTGATTTTGATGCATGTTTTGATTCTATTGAAATAACTCAATCAATGACCATTATCAAATATTAAAGTATATTTAGAATTGAAACTAACTTAGCAGTATATCAGAATCTATTAAATTCGGTCCAATGTTCACAAATACAAGTTCTTAGAACCTAACCATATTTCTACCTTGAATTGTTGATCCTGTTTAGTAACTTCCACTATTCCATTGTTTGTTGCAGTACCAAGAGATCATAATGGGTTTTTGTATGCAAAGATTTATGGTGGATTTGATCATGTTAGATCTTCGGTAAGTTGCCATTTGATATTATTACAGGTTTTTTTATGAATGTTTGGCTATAACCTGTTCTATTTTTTATTAGATCTGTGATCTGGTTGCTGTTTCAAGAATGTTAAATGCAACACTCATCATTCCCGAGATTCAAGAAAGTCTACAGTCTAAAGGCATCAGGTTTTACACCAAATACTTGTGTCAATAGCACATTAAAATTAATGTTTGTGTGGTTTATAGTGCCTTGGTCCCAATAACACTCTTCCGCTCCCAATCCCTTCCTTTTTTTATTTACTTACTGCAGTTCCAAGTTCAAAAGTTTTTCATATGTCTACAATGAGGAGCAGTTCATAGCTGCACTGTCAAATGATGTAGTTATATTGAAGAGCTTACCCGATAATCTAAAGCGAGAGAGGAAAATGAAGAAGTATCCAACTTTTTCTATCAGATACTCTGCTTCTCCTAGCTTTTATATTAATGAAGTATTGCCTAAATTGAAACTTTCAAAGGTTGTTGGCTTGTTAATTGCTGATGGTGGATGCCTTGAGGTATGATTTTCACAGAAAAGTTATATTTCACACTATACTGCATCTATTCATGCGAATAACCTTTTATTTTAGCTGACTGCTTTGTAAAGTAACGTTATAATTAGAATTCTTACCATCCTGCAACCTGTTTAGTCTATCCTTCCGAAGGACATGGGTGAGTATCAGAGACTTCGATGCAGAGTTGCTTTTCATGCTCTACAATTTCGTCCAGAAATCCGAGCAGTTGGAAACCTGATGGTAGCGAGGTAGTTCTATTCGTCTAGCTTGTGCGTAGACATCATATGTAACTACAAATAAAATAACTTACGCAATAAATTTAGCTTGGGGAGGTTGAAATTGGAGGAATAGTGATGTTATCTCCACTGTGATCCTGTGGTCACTGTTCTCTCCATTGTTAGCTGGCAAGTTGAATAACGTGCAAAGTTCTAATTCGAAAGTATGAACTGATATCTGTTAATAAAGATTAATCTTCTATTTAAATTAGGCTACATCTGTGATATTTCTGACTCAAGCAACATTGTGTCTTTGCTCTGAACTTGTATGAATTGAAATTAGTCATAATCAGTAATCTTCTTGTTATTGGCGATCACGATAGTTGAAAAATTCTTTTGCAGGTTAAGGGCTTCTGGTCGTCCATATCTAGCATTCCATCCAGGTCTTACAAGAGATGTCCTTGCGTTTCATGGTTGTTCTGAGCTTTTTCAGGTCTATACCTCACAGATATTGGTATAATATTACCAGTTGAATGCTGCCTTTAGTCATCAGCTTAGATTAAGTTCATGATGTCAACATTTTTGCATGTGGTAATTTTTGTGTCTTTTTGCCTTTACCAGTTGTCTATACTTTCATGGAATGTTGTTTTCATCTGCTGATATGTATAGTGTAAATATTTTTGTCATCAGCTCATCCCATTAACAGTTAATTATCCATTTCTATCTAGGATGTTCATGCTGAAATCTTACAATATAGAAGGAAGCAGATGATCAAGCATGGGATTATTCATGGAAACCTGAGTATGGATTCTATGGCTCAGAAAAGGAAGGGATTATGCCCGCTTATGCCTGAAGAGGTGAATTTAAGCTACTGTTTTTCGTTGGCACTCAAAGATTTTGAGAGTGATTATTACTATTCCTGAAATATTTAGCTAGCTTTCTATTAATTGAAGATATTTAGAACTGTATTCATAATGTACTGGCTCTCCATTTTATTGCTCAAGTTCATCACAAGGTTTCGAACATTCAAAGCAAGTTCTGATATTCATCCAACTACATGGGACTAGAACTAGATTGTCTTAGAACCATCCTTAAATATGTTGCTAATCAATATGTTGAGTTCTTGTACATCTAAATTTTCTGATTTTTCATTCAAATTTAGACAAGGTAGCGTCTTCTGAAATGAAAAATCGTAGCAATGCTTAAAGATGATATTGACTAAGACGTAGTTAAAGTTGTGATAGGTTTATGAAAATGATTAACATGTCTTTATTGTTGGTAAATACGCAAAATGAATACAACAACAACAACATCAAGCCTTTATCCCACTACATGGGGTCGGCTACATGAATCATTTTTCTCCATTATGTCCTATTAAGAGTCAAATCCTCATTTAAATCTAATAAATAAAGTTCATTTCTTATATTTTTTAACCAAGTCTTTTTAGGTCTACCTCTACCTTTCTTAACATAGTCCAAATCTAATACATCTACTCTCCTAACAAGGTCATCGGAAGGCCGACATTTTATATGACCAAATCATCTAAGGTGACTGACTCTCTCTAATCTTATCTGTCACTGGAACTAGTCCAACCTTTTCCTAGATATGCTCGTTTTGTATCATGTCTCTAAGAGTAAGTCTATTCATCCACCTGAGCATCCTCATCTCAGCAACACTTAACTTAATACTATGTTTCTCTTTTAAAGGCCATCATTTGGCATCATAAAGCATTGCAGGTCTCATCACCATCTTATAAAATTTTCCCTTAAGATTGAGTGGTACTTTCCTATCACACAATAAACCCAAAGCATTCCTCCACTTCAACCATTCAACTTGAATTCTACTTATAATATCCCCATCTATTTCACCATCACTCTGAACAATAGACCCAAGATATCTAAAACGTGTACACTTATTAATGACATGATCGCTCAAAGTCACAAACCCCCACTAGATCTATTACTACTAAAATTACACTCCATGTATTCGATTTTAAATCTATTCAAACGAAAACCTTTAGACTCTAAGGTTGACCTCTATAATTCGAGTTTACCTTCAACTCCCTTTCTAGTCTTATCAGCAAGAATAATATCATCAGCAAAAAGTATACACCAAGGTACATCCTCTTGTAAATGTCTATTGAGAACATTCATGACTAAAGAAAAAAGATAAGGGCTTAAGGCTGATCCTTGATGTAATCCAACCGAAATAGGAAAATACTTGGTCAAACCACCTTGTGTTTGAACACAAGTAACAATTCCTGCATATATATATCCCTAATGACTTGAATCTAAGCATTATTAAACCCTTTCTTTTTTAGAGCTCTCCATATCACTTCTTATCATATGCTTTCTCTAAATCAATAAATATCATAGGTAGATCCTCCTTAGTCTCTCTAAACTTCTCCACTGTGGGCTCCGAAAATTCGGCCCCGGCCTCCCCGCCGCGCGATTTCTTCTTTATATTTGGCGAGGGGAGTTTTAACGGAATAAGTTCCGGGGTAAATTTTGGAAGGCAGATGGGTTTGTAGATAAGACACTACCCAGAGATTTCGCCCTCATTTTGCGAGGACTTTATGATCTGAGTTCTGGTTTCCTATAGGCGCAAGCCCCTATAGTTAATTACCCCTCCCGATCACGAGAGAGAACTTTCGATTAAGGCTAGTCGTAAATCAGACGCATAACATACGTGTTATCTGGCATATAGTAGCAGCAATGGGTTTGGGATTGGAGGTTTGGATTTGTGAATTGAAGAGTTGGTTTTTTGGATTGAAAGATTTGATATTTAAAATAGGAATTGCACCATCTTTCACTTAAAGCGGATGGTGGGGGAATGGATGATGGACCCGATCAAGATCCCATGGTTCCGTCGTCCCGGGCCATCGTGGTCCCTGGTCTACTTAGTCAGAGGAGGTAGTCGACCCAACCTGATAGAAGGATCCTTGTCGGCAGCCATGGGTTGCTTCGTCCAACGGAACCTTGTAGATCTGGGTTGGATGTTTGTCTAAGATGACAAATTTAAATCCACCTTAGCTGACAGAGGGCTTTGTGCCCTATCGATCATATCCTATTGATTCATATCTCAAGGATTTGATGCCAATAAGGAACGTAACGGCGCTGGCCTTAACCGGTATATCGTGGTGCCATTTGGCGGCAAAACCACTCGGTTCAGAGGGCCCCGGGTCATAACCGTTTACATGCAGTGCCATTTGGCGGCGAAACTGCCGGTTAGAGGACACGTACCACGTCCTTACTGGCAAGAGATTGTTTGAGAATGGATCCTAGTAATATTTTCGACTAGGCATTTAACTCTTTTGTGAGCTGAGGTAAATTTTGATTTGTCCACCCTGACAAACTGTTGCGGAGGGCGGATGGATTTCGCTTTAGGCGCTGATGGATAAATTTCATTTTTAAATATTTTGGAATTTTGGATTTTGTTGAGTTTTTGGTTTTTTTGGGATTTTGTGAAGTTTTTAGATTTTTCTGGGATTTTGGGTGGAGCTTGGAAGATATTTGGAATGGACTTTTAGGAGACAATT